CATCTAGCATCCACTTTTCGCTAGTTTGTTTAATTATTTTAACTAGCCTGCCTTATTCAACCACTGCTTCTCCTTTAGATAAGCCAGGGTATATAGAAGAGACCAACATCGAACAACACTGAAACAATGATGCCCAATTGTCGGAGAGTCCATTGTTAAGAATAGTAAGAATGTTGGAACGCACGCCAACGTTGAAAGCAAAGTAAGAGGACCTAAATTATTATAAAATGACCAACTATCAGTACCTTATTTACGCAAATCCTTACTAATACCTATTATATCGGAAAGTGAGTTTGTTTGTTTGTTTGTTTGTTCCGCTTTCACGCCGTAACTACTAAACCGATTGATTTGAATTTTTGCAGACGTAAAGTTATAAGTCCGGATTAAATAATAGGGTATTTTTTATCATGGAAAAATTTGATATTCCCGAGGGAAAACAAAAGTATTGGTATAGATGGCGCTGTGTGTATTGGTATATTATTATGTCACATAGGCTACTTTTTATCCTTTTGTGACGCGAGCGAAGCCGCGGGTAAAAGCTAGTATGTAATATTTGAATTTAAATTTGAAAAAACTTGAATACCGATAAAACTTAATAGAAATACGAGACATTGAAAAAAAAAACAATCAACCGAACATAGTACCTAGGTATGTACCTCATCATTTTTTTGAAGTCGGTAAAATCCAATTGACATGTCTTGTTTAGTATAGCGACCACACGACCATTGAAGTAGTTAGTAGGTAAGTACCATGCATTAAAAGTGAGTAATTCGAAGGTCTACAATTACCACATCATAAAATGTTACACTATACAATTTCGTAGGTATACATAAATAGGCCTAAGTGAACGACCTTCAAACTGCACTTATTGAACATTTTAATAAAGCAGAAACATTACCTTGTTCTTAATTCAAAAGCGTTTTGTTAATGCACGTGATTCTCACGTCCTGTCATTGGGCTTCAAAAGTTACATTGTGATATTTTAAAACAAAAATGTGCCAAGACAGCGACCATAAAATGTGGTCTATTGGATATCTGCTCCCTATTACTAAATTTCTAGGTTCTCTAGTTTTAATTGAGTTTTGAACGTAAACAACGATGAAAAAATTCAAAAAGATACCTATATAAAAGCTAAATAATTCTTGAAAAAGTTACCATAAACTACTCATTGTAGATACACTAGTAGAACACACTCCGAAATCCGATAAACATTAAGAATATTGAAAGAAAAAGCCAATTTTCTTAATTTTTTTTAATGCCTATTGTCACTAGATAATTAATGTTGTAAATTAGCATAACTAAAAAGATGACGAAAAGTATTATTGCTAAAATAAAATTACCTACTGTCTAATTTATTATTGACTAAATTGACTAGAGTTAAATGAAATCTGTAATTTAATATTACATGACATTTAACTAATATTGTTGTAAAGTTTTTATTCTTAATAGATAATTGATAGGCCATTGCTTATAATTTTACACGTAGCTAAGGAAGCTTAGCTACGTGTAAAATTTAATAAATTAAAAAAAAAACTTACCCTAAAAACTGCAAGCAAAGGAAATTCCAACCGGAGCCAAACGTTTTATTTATCCCAAAGGAAACTCAAAGAGTTTTCACAGATGATAGACGGTTTAATAAAATTATTTCACTTACAACACAAGCTATGTAAATTAAAAAATATAAAAAAATCGAAATTTGAACGTCGTGCGATGGCCGTACCCACCGCACCGAGTGTCGCTTCAACACTGAGATAGGTGCAACAATGTACGGTGTGTTTACTGAGCGAACGCCAGTCTACACGAACTAAACGCAACCTACCTATTTATGACTAGGTAATAATTACAGCTATTTCGATGCATTAAAAATCTTTTTGGAACCATGAACTGGGATCAGCGACCTATTTTCAAAAGGATGGCGCGATTTCTCTGATTGGTCGAGCGTCGCGACCGGTTTCCATCGATTGGTCATCTCGCCGCGTCGGTTTCCCTAACTTTCTTTGACCCCGATTATATCGTGTCGGTACATTTTTTCGTGATTGCATTTTGATAGGATTTTATTGCAATAATTCAATCGTTACTGTTCCGATTGCTGAGCATGTCGGAATAACGGGTTTTTAAATAATTTTGGTGCACTTATTGCAGTTCTTATTCTTGGAAAATGCCTGTAAAAGGTAGGTGACACAGAAAGGAAAAAATAGCCAAAATACTGTGTTTTACTATTTTTCTACAAAGTTGTTTGGAAGTTGCACCTGCAAGCTTATTAAAATTATAATCTCTTTGAAGGCTGCTACTGTAATTACGATGTCGCCGATGGAGACATGTCAGTTAATTTAATGATAGATATTTTTAAACATTTGGACTTTGTACCTCATAGAAAATTATAATACCTTTCATACATTTTCGTCAAAAAGTGACGTTGCCGCTACTATAACATTAGACCAATATTTATAAAAAAAATAATAATAAAAATATATGTACAGCATAAAGCAAGCAAAACCAAGAGAAAAAGTAGCCATAACGCTTCTTAATTAATCAAATTAAAACTAACGCTCTCTAAAATCTTCAAACTGAAAATATCTGGCGGGAGAATGTAGGCTAGGTAGTTAGAATTATTTATCGAGATCTGATAGGATGGCTAGACTGCTAGACGGCACGCTTGACGCAGTGGCTGTATGACCGACTGCTGCGTTTTGTGGGTCCAATACGTTTTTTTAAGAATTCGTTAGAAATTAGAGAAGTAATTACCTAGACAAGTAGCAAGTAAAAATGATATGTACTGTATTATTGCTATTACGAACATTTCTTTAATATTTTGGTCGACCCAAGTCTCAATAGGGCTGTTGCCGATTCGGAGTCGCGGAGAACCTAACGGGTAACCGGGGCTCCGGGTCGACGTGCAGGAGAAGGAACGGGGTGGTTTTTAGTCAGTAAGAGTCTGACACTACCTTCCGCCTCACCCAGGCGGGATAAGACATTCGATGATTTTCCCCCCTTAAAAAAAAAAGTCTCAATCTCATCTCAAATCGTAATGCTACAGCTCGACCAAGGAAACAGATTAACACCAGAAAGTCCCGTGGTATAATAATATAATTACTTACAGGCTAGTCGTAATAATATTCATAGCCATTACGTATAAAGTATTGCATGTTGCAAGCTACTTCATGCTGTGCGGGTCAACTGAACCTGTTCTATCAACAGGAAGATAGAGCTTGTTAACCTACATCGGCTCGGCTGCATTACAGCCGTTATTTTTAGAAGCCAGGTAATATTTAGATGACGTATTTGTTCTTCATTTTACGATAAATAATAGTTGCATGCCTTGATTGGTGGAACATGATGAACTGCGCATTCATTTAACATCTTTCAATGCATCTAAATGTACTGTGTTCAGCAATAAAGATATTTGATTTTGATTTTGACAATTTAACTCGGTATGGGTCACCTACGTAGGTACCTATTTGTTTGAATAGGTTTAGGGAGGGATAAAATATCAGTCAGACAGTTTTGAAGATGTGCAAAATATAGTTCGGATTAACAAAGTAGAGTTTGAAGTAAATTAACTTTTTACCATATTCTCCAGTTTATATCCTTCTGTCGGGTATCCGGCCCGGTATCGGTGCGATAAAGTTGCTATACCTATATTAAGTTGTCTATCAAAAATTACGTGATTTTTTTTTATGAAGCCGGTAAACTAGCAGACGGTTCACCTGATACCTGGAACACCAGAGGCGTTACAAGTGCGTTATCGGCCTTTTAGGATTGTTGGGGATTCAGAGATTGGGGAAAGAGGGGGCGTAATTAGGGCTAGCCCGGTAATTAACATCACTCACACGACGAAACGCAAAGACGATGAAAAGCGTTGTTTCACGTCGGTCTTCAGTGAGACCGTGGTATCACTCCGGTCGAGCCGGCCCATTCGTGCCGAAGCATGGCTCTCCCACACTTAAACCTAAACCTAAACCTTATATAACCCTTTTTAGTCAGTAAGAGTTTGACAGTCCCTCCCGCCTCACCCAGGTGGGAGCAGTCATTCGATGATTTTCCCCCGTTAAAAAAAAAACCTTTTTAACCCTAACCATACCTAAACTTTTAATGCTCTATTATTATAGGCTAAACCTCTCGGCAAAAAACTTGAGCAACCGTTGACAGTAGGTACAGACAAGATGTCGCAAGTTCGCAATCGCAAACAAAATACAAATTACGAAAATCCTTCACTTCAGTAATTTCATCTGCAATCTGCAACGTTCAAGTGACAAATTATTCAGCGGATGCGTTATATTACAGCGTTTATGTAGACATGGCAGCACATTAACCTATAATGGACTAGTTTAACATGATCTCGTTTTATATGACGTTTGCGCACATTTGACGGCCAGGTTATACTGGTTTTGTTTAACTTGATGTGTATCCAAGTGTACAGTTTAGTTATTGCATGCAGTGACTACAGCCTTGTAACACATGTCAACTATTGTGTACGAATCTCTGATGCCTAATATTTACGGTTCAAGGACTTTATTCTGATGTTTTCAGGTCGATGATAAAATTAAAGGTAGGGATTAGCTTAACAAGCTAGCTCGAACTGCGCCTAGATTTCCATCTTTAGTTTTGTGGTAAAGTCGTAATCACTGTGCCTAGCAAAAATAATAGTAATTAATAAAGAGTAGAAAAGGGTTTAAGTCCAAGAAACAAGGGTTCAGAGATTTTCCCAGATTTATTTATAGTCAAACATTGCCATATTGTGAGATGTGCTAGAAACGTATAAAGTAATTTTTAGGTGTCCATAAAATAATACCATACCAACTCACAAACGAGCTTTTTTCTATAAAAGCATTCTGCAGCAGCAACTTTACCATAGACAATTTCAATCTTCAATGCTGTAACACTTTATAGGGTCAAAGAAAAATAACTGTTTTATTACTAGATAAGCAAGCAGCTGAGGCACCTAGCAGATTTCTGAATCAATTTTGTCCTGGTCTATGGTTTTATGTAAGCGATAAACTGTGTATTCAATATAGAAAAAAGTAACAAACTTGTCTTTGAATTTTATTGACATTCTGTTTCTTTGGCAGCTGTCAGTGGCAATAACAAAAATGGCGCAGGTACCATTGTATGGCGTAAAAACACACGCTCAAAAGGTTTGCTCCCTTTATAAAAGAGCTTTACGTAACTTAGAAGCGTATTACGATAGACGGTAAGTTTAATTAAACCGTTGAACCGTTGCTTTTCCCTTCTTTTTCTTTGTTTTCCCCATTACGTAATTCCTTCAAAACATAACCGCAATTTTTGCATCTTATTTTTCAGATAAATCTTAATTCTTCAGCGTTTTTATTATGAATATCTTATATATGAAGATTATTTCAAGTGTCTGATCTAATGAGGTTACCATATTATTGCCTAATGATCAAATAAGAAGTGATTAGAACCATTGTATTTCTTGTAGCCCAGTTTCCGACAAGATGTACTATTCTCAACATTCTGATGATCAGTGATAGTTAGATTTGTAGCTTTATTACTAGTATCTATTACCTAAAACAGTTTAGCGGTGATTCGTACACAGCATTACACTAAAGTGGTTCATAAGTATTAATAATCACAATGTTTTCGTACTAATTTTCATTACCCTTGAAAATCCACTTTACTCATATGTAGACAATAATTAGTGTTCATGTAAATATTTGTTTTCATAGTAATAAGATTCTAATTAGAAAAAAATTTCAACAATAACAATAGAATACATCAGATGACTAAATAGTTAAATTCAAGTCTTTAATAAAAAAAGAAGTCTTCTGGGAATTATTATAACAAAAACATTGTTCATGTTTTAAACTATATCACATAAATACCCTTTAATTCCTATTCTTCTTTATTAATAATGACCTTTCTTCTTCGAGTACCATTTACAGTTGTATTTTTATTTCTTTCATACCTTTGAAGTTAATGATTTGACTATGTTATCAAGAATTTAATTAAAACTAAAATATTTCTTGTTTGACACATTAATTCAAAACCTATTCTGTATATTTCAGCAATGTATACCGTTACCAAGCAGTGTTACTGCGGGACAGGTTTGACAAGAATGCAAAGATCACCGACATGAGGAAAGCCGTGGAGCTGCTGAAGGAGGAGGAGGAAGAATTGTTCTTAACTCAACATCCTCTGCCAAAACTTTGTAAGATATACTTTGCTTTTCTTCTCAGCTACAAGATCCTACACCAACAGTCCTCTGCTGAACCCCCCCCCAACTGATTGTTTATTTACAAAAGTGTTTACTATCATAATTAATCTGTGGTGTGCTGGAATGCAGATCTACACAATGCATTTTCTATTCCTTTTGCGGCAAAAATTCATGGGGTTCAAAATATAATAGGCAAATCAAAGTGAAGACTGCCTCATTGGCGAGTGGTTGCAAGTGCGACTGCGGGGCAATCGATTCCCGGGTTGGGCAAAGGATTACTGGGTTTTAAAAAAATTTCAGTAGTGGCATGGAGTCTGGAAATGTGCCGGTATATTGCAATAGGGTCACCCCCTATTACATGGGACTCATAACAGTAAAAAGTAGGTGTTACATGGTACAGTGGCATTTAGTGCCATAATGTGCTGCTCTGCCTACCCCTTCGGGGATAAAAGGCGTGATGTTATGTTATGTGTGAATTTGCACCAGAAATAAGTGTAATTAATATTATGCAAAATTTTTAATATTGTCTTTGGACTTTGCATGGAGAAGCAATTTCAAAATATGTAGTAAAATATAGATAATTAGGTACATAATACTTACATAATGAATAATAGCAATATGCAATATTTAATGATGAATTCTAAAAATGTTGGTATTTTTGGACATTGCTGTGATAGTGTGATGCGTACCTACTTTGCATATTGCTACATGCTACATTGTTGTATAAATGCAGATTGCAAATTATAACTATTAGCTACTTATTATGTGCATTGAGCATCATTAGTTTAATGGGAAGAGATATGAGCAAACAAGTAAAAGTATTTATTTTTTCTTTTTAAAATGATTGACCCCACCCACGATAGGATTTTCTCCTTTTTCGTAACAACACGACGTGACATGACGTCCAGACACCCAAAACAATTATTTGTGGATCACACAAAGAGGTGCTCCGTAAGGCAATCGAAGCCGCTACACGTTGCGCGGCATTCGGTTGCCCAACGACCGCACCGAAAAACACTAAAGCCTTTTATTTATATTTTTTTAAGGAGGGAAAATCATACAATGACTTCCCCAGCCATGGGTGAGGCGAGAGAGATTACTCCTGCTTAGAACCAGAGCGTCAGGAACCCGTTAGGTCGTCCACAGAACCTTAAGCTTTAGGGATCATTCACATAATATTACTTAACGCAGGGAAGAGGGGGGCTATATACCCAACGTGACAATACATGTTAAAGGTATCAAAAAAGTAAGACAGGAGGGCGAAGTGTTCAATAAGTTGAAATTTTGCATAACATAATTATGTGGATGACCCCTTATTTTATGGGTTACTTAAACCTAATTTATACTTTTCTTCTCCAGTCGCAACCAGCCAAGGAGGTGTGGCTCACCAGCGTGTAGTAACTCCCCCTGACTGGGTGATCGACTACTGGCACCCATTAGAGAAGGCCCATTACCCCGAGTACTTCAAACGTCGTGAACAACGCAAGAAGGAGTTCATTGCAATGTGGGAGAAGGAATATGGCACCGCTGAGAAGAAAGAAGAGAAACATTGATATATTGTTGTATAGTTATGTAATATAGTGAATTGCGTTTATTTCGAATGCTGTTTTATTTGTTTATGGGCTAAGCCGGTTAACAACGAACCGGATCACCTGATGGTAAGAAATCGGCGCCGCCCATGACACCCGGAACACCAGAGGCGTTACAAGAGTGTAACCGGCTTTTGGGGATTAGGAATTTGAGGATTATTGGGGATTCAGGGATTGGGGAGAGGGGTAATTGGGCTCTGGGAACCTACTCACATTTCCGTAAGGCCGTGGTATCACTCCGGTTGAGTCGGCCCATAAAAATGTGTTGGTATTGAATGGTATAATTTAGCAGAGTATACAGTTACATGGGCCTTCCTCAGGGACCACCGTTTCAATAGAAAAGAGACTAATGCGTCAGCATTGGTCAGGTTGTCAAACCAAGACGCAATGCTTCCTCTATACTTATTATACTCTTTGCGCAATGCTGCGTGTCGACTTTATAAAAGAGCTATTCAAAAACAATTTTATCATCTAGTTGGGTCTAGAAGATATATTTCTATAAATGAAATGATTATCTTTTGATATACAAAATAAAGTTGTTTTATATGTCACTCTTATGAAATGTGCGTGTAGTGTCTTGTTGTGGTGTGAATTGTCCTTACTGTGCAGCAGTGCAGGTGTGTGCATTTCTATTCCCTGAAATCTCAATCGGACATGATATGAGATTGAGAGGATAAAGGAAAGGAAATAAAGTGACAAACGAAGATTAACATCAGTTAAATTATTATATCAACAGTTTATTGCAATCTTGTACCTCACTGTACATCATATCAAGAACGGTTTAGCAATTCCCGAGATTCGCACACAAACACATACATACAGGTTAACAAAAACACTGTATTAAATAAATTCTATTCGTTGGACAGTTTATATTTAGTATTGTTACCGGGTAAATGCATAAAAGTAAATATATGTTTATTGTTTAGTAAGGAATAAAATCGGAAATTAATTTCGCCTTTCTGTTCTTAGGAACAAGAGTGATTTTTCTGTGTTAATTAATGATAAAATTGCCATTTATATTTAACACTAAATCCTCGTAAATATAGACAGATTTACATTCACGTTACAATACAATTTTGCCCTTTTTATCTAAAACAACATATTGTACAGAAAATTTAACCTAATTATAGATTAACAATTTTGTTCAAGCCTAAATAAAAGTATATATTGTGTGTATAGATGCAAAAACATAAAGTTTTCATATATCTCTTTTATTTAATTAATTTATTTGCACTTTACGTTATAACTATAAAGACTTGGCAATCCCAGACAAGCACATTACAATGACCGCAGACTATAACACCCACTTAATTAAATTACACCAGAAATTACAACAAACCAGTGCAGTAAAACTCTAGAAAACAATATGTTTTCTATTACAAAATAATAACTTCATAGTTCATAGAGTAAATAATTTTACACAATTAATTTTCAAGTTGTGATCATCGGATTAAAAAAAGTTTTGAACACACTTCAACAGTATAAAAAAGAGGATGGATAAAGGCTGTATGCACATGATACCTTCGTCAAGAAAAGCTGTTAGGGTCACCAAAATCACATCTTAAAAATCGGGATATCGTTCGTGTTTGTAAACATCAAAGTCTCTCACTATATGTGTTGTTACATCAATTTCCTCCTAGAGTGTGACCACGGCCCCAGTTGTGTCCTCCGAAGACTGTTCCGCCTGGTCGTGTGGGTACCCTAGCTTGGGGTGCGGTGCCGAAACCACCCACGTATCTTGTGTCAGGGAATATTTGTTTCCTGGTGATAAAATAATTATAAGTTAGCAAATATAATGTGACTAATAATTATTGATAAATGGTAAACTTGTAGAATGACTTCAAATATACACATACCTAAGTTAGGTAGGATAGGCATAAATATGGTTGGTATTAAATGACGTGGTCGTAAATAAACAATGACGTGCCTATGAACTGTGAGTCATGAACGACGTAAGTAAATGAGATAACATGGCATTTACGACTCACAAAAATAATTATCATGGTTGGAAACTTCAAAACTATTAAAATGACAAAAATGATAAACAAGCACTATTTTTAATAAGCAATAAACAGATTCGGTAGATTTCGCCGATTTTTTAATTTTTTTTAAATTATATCTAAAACTAAGCAACATGCATTCCCTCCCTTACAAAGAAAAGGTTTCTAAGCTAAATTACCCAGAAGCAGTGTTGGTCAACATAGGTGTGAACTTACAAGAAAGCTGGCGGTGATAGGAGAGCTGGACCGCCGAACTCCTGAGGATACTTGAAGAGAAGGAAGAACGCCAAGTGACCGATCAGGATGCCAATCAGCTCCATCACACCTCTGGAATATGAGACAATATTTAACAACATAATTTTATTAAAATAACTAGCTGACCTGGCAAACTACGTTCCGCCTAAAAATTTTTTCCCTTTAAACATTCCCTGGACTTCCATGAACATTTGAAGACCAAAATTACCCAAATCGGTTCAGCTGTTTTCGAGGTTTAGCAAGACTAACGAACGGAAATTTATTTTTTATTTATATAGATAGATTATTTTGTCATTGTTTAGCAGTTCTTCGTAAGCGAGACCGAAGAGAACTTAACATGAGTTATACTTTCTAATAGCCGAAGTGAATTACCGATCTCAATCCAAAATCAGCAGATTAACCTGTGTTATGGTATTGTCTAAAAATCGATCTTAAACCAAAGATTTTAGGATCGAGTTTGGTTTAGATAAAAACTTTCGTGAGACATACTAAATTAATTATTATGTTTACGGCTACCTTCGGGTTACTTAGTAGCAGCGCGACAGACGCCGCGTCGCGGCTCACGGACTAAGTACTGCTCATGAATATGAGCTCTAGTATGGTTTGAAACTAGTCGAGTTCCCCGAATTCGAAATTCACCCGGTGGCGAAAAAGCAAGAAGAGGTTGTTGTATCCAATCACAGCTGCTGTTACATATTGAACGTCCAATGGTGTGACACTAGCTAATTGCTTATTGGACGCAGAACGAGAGGTTTACGCTAGCACCATCTGGTCAGCAATAATACGGTGGGCCCCATTGGCTCATTAGTTCCTAAGTATGAGATTCAGGCCTATCATTCTTCGAGAAATTCAATTTGAGGACTACACCTTAATTCGAACATAATAGAGTTCAAAATCCAACTCACCCGCCGCTGATAACCAGGTTGAAAGCCAGCAGTACCCATGGTAGGTACATAGCTTTGAACCTCGTCCCAAACCAGAAGGAAACGATCACGTCTTTGTTGAGCTGGCACCATACATACAGCACAGACAGTACCATCGGGTCCATTAGGATCTGGAAGAGGGAATATATTCATTAATTAATGGCATTTTATGCATACTACCAAACTATACATAGCATCGCGGCTTTTAAACCCTAAAGGGGAAGGTAGAAGTGTACATCTGTCCATATCTATATTAATAAAAAGTGCTCCATCGTACACCGCATCGTCGCTAACCACCAGGTGAGATAGTGGTCAAACGTCGGCCCATCAAATATAAAAAAATAAATACTAATAATTACTACACAGTATAAAACAAAGTCGCTATCCGCCGTCTGTCTGTCCCTATGTATGCTGAGATCTTTAAAACTACGCAACAGATTATGATGCGGATTTTTTTAATAGATAGTGATTCTTAAGGAAGGTTTGTATGTATAATACATACATAATTCCACCCGTGCGCAGCCGGGGAAGCTAGTAAAACATAAAGCTGAAGAGTTTGTTTGTTTGAATGCGCTAATCTCCGGAACCAGTGGTCGATTTAAAAAAATACTTTTTGTGTTGGATAGCACATAAATCGAGAAAAACTATAATATAGACTATAAAACATTGCCCTACGATCAATAAGAGCCGAGCAGAGGATGTGCCATTATTATACACCCAGGCACCGTGCTATTACGAGAATTTCTTCTTCTTTCTTCTTCGGTCTTTCGGTCTTTTGGAAAGACCAAATAAGTATGACTTTAACCGAATCATAAACAATACATATTAAATTCTTTTTTTGTCTAGTAACTGTATAATTGTTAAATTCGATGCATAATCTGTATTAATTATTTAAGTACCTAATTCTATACTACACATATGTTAATAATATGTTTACAATAAATAAATACCTACGAGTACGGCGTCAGCAATGTCACATTGAATTTGTGTCCATAGGTATGACTGTGGTCATAAAACAATCGCGGTTCATGAGGTCTTGAGTTTAATGACACGTTAATAAAGGTGCAACAATTGGAATATAGGTATCGTATTACGTTGTTATTGTACAAGGAAGATTACAGCTATTTGTTATGTATTTGATAAATTACGATTATTATAAATTGATTGATACTACTATTGCTACTTGCATTGGCTGCCTCATTGGCCGAGTGGTCGCAAGTGCTATTGCTGGACAAGGGGTCTCGGGTTCGATTGCCGGGTCGGGCAAAATATTACTGGGTTTGTTTAAAATCTCAATAGTAGCACGGAGTCAGGATATGTGTCCGTTATATGGCAATAGGCTCACCCCCTATTACATGGGTCTCATAACATGAATAGTGAAAAAAGGCATTTAACGGCCACCCTTCAGAGAGAAATAGCGTGATGTTATGCTATGTTTAACAATGGAAATAAAAACTATACTTACAGGCAAGTTAACAAGTAATCCAATGACCACACAGCATGCCCAGTTGAAGAGTAACATATAAAAGTAATCTGCAGGTTTGCCCGCAAACATTCCCGTCTCAAGTCTCTGCGAGTAGTTGTACAGGAAGTAGCAATTGATTAGGAAGTGGAATCCTGTACTCGGACTTATCGGGTAGAAGAACAGCGCTGTGATTGGTCTCCATAACTGTGAATGATAAAAAGAAGGGTTTTATAACTGCTTCAATTTTGTACCTCGATATAAATGAAATTGTGACAGAAAATACGATTGAAATGTAAATTAAAGTATTTTTAGTTATTTCTTGGCTATGATTGTTAAAACATATCGACGGTTGAAAGGCTAATTGATCTACTCATTATTTTTTTGTGATATCGTTAAATACCTACATTACAGCGAAGTAAAATTTGATTTCGAAAATGAATTTAACTAAATTTCGCAAAAAAATATCGCTTAGATCAATTAGTCTTTCAACCGTCAATATGAAATTAATAACTGTATCGTTTGTAGTAATTGAAGATTATCATTTGATGGATACACATACTACAGTCTACATTCAAAAAATTAAAATTCTTCTATCAGAATACGACAACACCACTCAATTTTAAGACACGCTAAATATAGATTTAGCGTGTCTTAAAATTGAGTGGTACTATTACCATCATTATACATTCTTTGGGAAATGACAGAGATGGCATGACATTTATGTATGACTTCAAATTGAGTAGAATTTCGGTATTCAAGTGTTAGTCTTCTTCTTCTACAGGTTTACAAGGTTATAAATTAATTTATGCTACTGTAATTACTTAATAATTAAATCATGCTATGGTAATTACTTAATAAATAATTATGTAAACAAATGATGGTGTCAATTAAGGTTTGTCCAATTCTAATGCAGCCTGATAAAGCAAAACTGTAAAAAATTATTGGAGCATAATTTTGTTATCACTATTAGCATAACAATTATTATCAGTGACTTCTGATTATTAAATGTTTACTACTGTTAGATAGTGAGCCCATTATGAATAATTGTAACAGTATGCAAGTATATGGATGTGTATCACAGTATTGTGTTTGAGTATATGGGCCAAGACAACTAATTATGGTTTATTGGTTTGTAGGAACCATTTTTTAAATTAAATTTGTAATTCGAACATGAGCATTCATAATATGAATTTCATATTATGCAATGTTTAAACTGTGGAATGATCTAGCAACGTAGCACGAGCACATAATATTACTTAATTTTTCCTGCTTACCTGGAATTTGTTTACAATGGAATAGAAGTCCAGCACTAAATAGGAGAAGCTTAATAACCCAAACCGGCCCAATATACTGAACACAATTGTTAAAGTCAACCAATAACGAGTGAAAAACGGTACACTCTCAAACCAATCCTTGAATTCAGACATTTTCGTATGTAAACACAAACAACAGGGTCACTAAAGAGACAGGTTACTAGAAGTTTTTACAACAATTAGAGCACAGCACTCGCTGATCGTTTAACCATAAATAGATACAAATGATGAAATTATTAACATCGAATTGTCGGTACACGTGTACTATGAGAATTTGTCGAGAAAATTCAACCAACAAGAGGATGATTTTGTTGTTTTTGACAGTGGGCGGATTTGTGTTGCCAGCGGCAATTTATTGCAAAAACCGTAAAATTTTCAGTGGATTTCTTATTATTTCCCAATTGTTTCTTATTTAAGCCCTGATAAAATTATGATAAAACTATTTTAATCCAATGATAAGATTATTTCCTTTGAAAAGTTATTTTAATGAAAATGGTTTATGGATTGTTTGGTTACGTTCAACTTACGATAATAGTTTCCAGGTAAAAAATCATTACGAACTTCTAGTAGCTTGGCAATGTTTTGAAAATTTGAAACTATTGTGCAGGCAATAAAATTAGATAATCAGTGTTAGTAAATATTAAAAAAAGATAGGAAACATGCAACTCATTACTGTAGATGAAAATTGGCAATAATGAACGCGCTCTAGATTTTCTTTAAGATCTTTCAGTTTCAGTGTCAAATTGACATTTATCAAATTCGGAAACGATACCTGTGATTCTATGAACTTGCGATTTCATTTTGATTTCGTTTGATGAAAAAATGAGAACTATGTTGAAAACTCTAATTGCGGCTACTAATTTGCCTGTAAGGCGATATGCAGTGCGTTTTTGTTCTAATGATGCTCAAGCTAAGCATAAAGCAGAAGAAAAACACGACCCTAAGATTCGGAATCGGAACCGGCCAAAATAGAAGTTGTCAAAAAAAGTAAGGTTATTATTATCTTATTTTCTTATTATTAAACCAACTTATTTTGATAATCTCTATACAAATGTACTCGATAATATAATAAGAATAAAACTGATGTAATTACTAAACGTAATAACTAAAATTATCGCCTCATACGATTTTAAAATGTTATTTTTGAAAATAGTAATACTACCCACATATTACCTATACCTAATTCTATTTAAAATTACTTACAGATATTGTTGTTGAAAAATTTGGTTCCGTTATGACACTCAACATAGACCGTCAAAACACGAGGAACAGTCTGGACATAGCAACACTCAAAGAAATGACTGTAGCCATTGATGCATTCGATAATGATCCTGAAGCCAAAGTTTTAGTATTCAATGGAGAAGGTGGCAGCTTTAGTTCGGGATTCAACATGGATGATATAGCCGCACATGGATATAATAATTTAAAAGATGCTGCGGTATGTATAAAATGAAAAGGGAATTAAAATAACTTGTTTAATCCGTTACGAATAATCTGCCATGTCATTAGAAAGTAGTAAATAATCATATTCCAATATATAATCACGATATTAAAACACGGCTGCTGACTTTTAGGCCCGATCTGTGTAGTGTCTCATACGGTAGTTCGTTCGTAAATGTAACTTTTTGCACAAGATTAAATATAAAATTAATAATAGATTCCGACATGGTTACACTTGAACTTATGGCTGCAAACTGTATGGTTGGCTGTGAATTTGATTTAATTTCCAACTTGTTATCACTGAATTCAACATATCAAATTAGAATTGCTGAATTATTGATAACATTTCGACTTCATACATAGATATTATTTACATTATCAATATTGGTATGTCGTAGTAAATCGCAAATGATAGCTTAATTTTATCAGTCCTTTGCATCTTTTATAAAAAAGTGTATTTTTTATTCTATTAGGAAAAACATAAATAAAACTTATTACCTTCATTTACTATGGCTTTCTGCGCTTTTATGACTGGTTTTATTATATGATTGTTTTCAATTGTTTGCCTCCATTCGTCGAGTAGCGCTATTGTTGATTTCACTCATTCATATCAAACTCATTCATTTCTTAGATTATACCAAGAGATGGCAGGTTTGCTCGTCCAGTTGTGTAGTGACAGCAGAGATAAAAGTTGCTGCGATGTGCAAATGACAAAATATAATTAAAATAACTTGTTTAATCCGTTACGAATGATCTGCCGTATAAATTGAAAGAAATAAACGATCATATTCCAAACTATAATCACGAATATTAAAACACGGCTGCTGAATTTTAAATTTGATATGTCTGGCTTCTTATACGGTATACAGTTGATAAGTGTTAATTTTTGCACAAGGTTAAAAAATAAATTGATAATAATATCGGACATGGTTACACTTCGACTTGTGGCCGGAGACTGTATGGTTGGCTGTGAATTTGATTTAATTACTGCTTGTTATCACAGTATATGCATATATATTAAAATTGCTGGCTTGTGGTTGAACTGACCTGAAACTGTTTGCTAATATCAACATTTTGTTAAGGAAAACCACAAGTTGTTAATAATATTTTTGATGAATTATTTTGATGTTGGGTGCTTTAAGGATGCTGGTTCAGAAATCCATTAACAATGACTGTTTATGAACTGGCTTTTACGTCTCTTCATAGTTACATAAACACTTGTATCAGTTTGTATTTTCCCGAGGGCTTACAGAGTATGAGTTTATTTTTCCGGTTGGTTCATTTAAGCTGGCCAATCAGAGCGCTGAACGTGATATCGTTTCGATCTCGTTAAGCGTAACATAAATTCGTACTAAGCTATTTTTTTTTTACATTCAAAGGACCGACGTTTGACCACTATCTCACCTGATTGCGATGAGAGCGTTCTATTCCTATTCACTCGGACCTTGAAAACACCCAGGTATACACCCTTCTGGAAATACAGACTCTGGCAAAGTAATCCACTTGTTAGAAGTACGCACAAGGAAGCTTGATGCGAAATACATTTTTTTTTAATCGTTGCCCCACACTAGGATTATCTCCTGTGTCGTGGGTGCGTTTACAAACATACAAGTTCACATACACATGACACCCAGACCCAAAACAACAATTTGTGGATCACACAAAGTGTTGTTCCGTGCGGGAATCGAACCCGCCTCACGTTGCACGGCAGCCGGTTGCCCAGCCACCGCACCAACCGTGCGGTCTAAATAAATAAAAAAAAAAAACATTCTGGAAGTTGATTCTTACTGCTCTGTAAAACCTCTCCACTGGCTTGATTTTCAATATTGTTCAGATTTTTTATTACCAATATTTTTGTTTGGATGGTCATTGTCTGTACTCAGTGAGCATTGAGTATGTATAACTAATAATGAATGATTATTAGTTAACTAGCTAGTCCCTTGCGGTTTCACCCGCTCTACTCGGATCCGATTGATCGTAGCGTGAGGTTTTAAGACCTGTAGTCTTCCTCTGTAAAGGCACTATCCAACACAAAAATAATTATTGAAATCGGACCAGTCAGTAGTTTCGGAAATTAGCGCATTAAAAAAACAAACAAACTTTATATGTATAACAGTTATTTAGGTATTAGTTAATGAAGATTGGAATATAAAAAGCACCTACACATTATTTGCATTATCATTTTTGGCATTCAACAGGGAATCACAACTGATGGTATATTTTTATCAGTGCTTTGCATCTCTCAAAATAAATACTTTTTACACTTTTACTGTCAAACTCTAACTTGTAGTGATAATCAGAAAATAATTGAAATTATTGACGTGAAAACGTCTTATAAATTGGTTTGCCGGGTGACACTTCAAGAAACTGCGTTACGCTCCGCTCACGTTATGCGCTCACAATGAGAGCGAGTGAGAGGCACGCGTCCCTTCCACTCGGGCATGGTTAGCCCGCCTAAGAGCGAGAGAGACAGAGCGAGAGAGAGAGAGTGAGAGAGATAGGCAAATTATTTTACCACTCAAAGTCGTTGTCACGTAAAACTTTCGCCCGTATACCGACTTTACAGGCAACCAATTTTTTTTATTTCTAGATTCGTCTGGAAAGAAGACCTCTCTGCGATAAGATCACAATAGCAGCAGTGTCAGGGTACGCGGTGGCAGAGGGGTTTGAGCTGGCTCTGTCATGTGACCTGCGAGTCATTGAGGAGACCGCTGTACTCGGCTGTCTTGGGAGGAGATTTGGTATGTAGATATTTAATAATGTGTTCATTACAGTTAGATTAATGTTGTCTAAAGGGCCTCTGCGCAGTTGGCTTCGGCCCCACGTACGCCTCCCAAATAACCGGGACCCTGTGGTCCCGTGAATGTTAAAGACATACATAATAATATAATAATAATAACGAAGTCGCGGGCACAGCTAGAATAATAATAAATCATTTATTTCAAGTAACAAAATGTTAGTAAAACTTACATCTATGTTAGTAATCACAATTGTTTTATAGTATAATAAACGTTTTATAATAATACATCCTACATTAAACTGTCAAACACCAAGTGGTCACCGGTGACCGCAACCTATTGTTCTTTAATTGTGTCTATAAATACGGTACTTGACGAGTTAATTCATGGGAAATGGCATTACATCTTCCCATGTATATGCAGTCCAGTCTGCTCGCAATCATGCTCAGGATACTGTTGGAGCTGGCCCGCACCCTGCTCACCAGGGAAGCACACCTTTTGCGCATTGTTGCATAAAAACAGTCTATGTGTGCATATCCCTAAATGCATTATTATATTGAACACGGAGAGCGCTGCGCAGCGCTTTAACCCAAGGATACCTGCGACACATCTCGCCAGCGACGTTGGGTGAAGCAGTGCGACGTTGCCGGACTTTGGTCGATCTGCCTGGCAACATCAACGTCCCAGTGGACATAAGTCGCCAAGTATGTCATGTTAATATGTCGCCGAAATGTCGTACGACATTTACCCCCTAGTGTGTTCTTGGCTTTAAGATAATTAATGTTAATTGTATGGATATTCAATTATCTTATTGTTCAGTGAAAACTGCCTCGGTCAAGGCTTTGCTTAATCTATGCCTTTAGCCAAATGCCACTTTAGCGCTTGTCTACAGAGAGTAGAAATGGGGATGAAACTGACAAGTGTCAAAATTTACGTCAATCCCATATAGGTAATTTGGTTTTCTATTCTACATGTAGACAAGCGCTTAATGGCATTTGGCTACAGCTGTTGATCCGCTTTCGATATCCGGGTCGATTAAAGTATTATAGCGGTTTTTAATGGAGTCAATTAAAAGATTGACTGCCTCGTTGGCCGAGTGGTCGCAATCACAAGTGCGACTGCCGGGCAAGGGGTCTCGCGTTCGTTTCTCGGGTCGGGCAAAGTGCCTACAAGTAGGTTTTTAAAAATAAATCTCAGTGGTAGCACGGACTCTGAAATTGTGCCCGGTATATGGCGATAGGCTCACCCACTATTACATGGGACTCATAACATAAATAGTGAAAAGTGACTCACTTTTCACTATTTATGTTATGAGTCCCATGAAATCCCATCCCATGAAATCAATCGAGCGTCCTCGATTGTTTTCGAGCGTCCTCGATCGTTTTCGAGCGTCCTCGATCGTTTTCGAGCGTCCTCGATTGTTTTCGAGCTTCCTCGAAATCTATCGAGAGTTCTCGATCGTTTTCGAGCGTCCTCGATCGTTTTTGAGCGTCCTCGAAATCTATCGGGCGTTCTCGAAATCTATCGAGAGTTCTCGATCGTTTTCGAGCATCATCGAAATCTATCGAGCGTCCTCGAAATAAATCGAGCGTCCTCGATCGTTTTCGAGCGTCCTCCATTGTTTTCGAGCGTTCTCGAAATCTATCGAGAGTCCTCGATTGTTTTCAAGCGTCCTCGATTGTTTTCGAGCGTCCTCGAAATCTATCGAGAGTCCTCGATCGTTTTCGAGCGTCCTCGAAATCTATCGGGCGTCCTCGAAATCTATCGAGCGTCCTCGAAATCAATCGAGCGTCCTCGATCGTTTTCGAGCGTCCTCGATCTCAATCTGGAAAATAAATTGGGGCAAGGGGGCCTCCACTCCTTTGTTGCCCCGAGGCCTCTGGACCCCTAAATCCGACACATACACACATTGACACAATAGTACGAAAAGTACCTATCATTGTCATTGCAGATGACTTGAAGAGCAAAGCAAAGTAAATAAGTTTATCTTTTATAAACATTCACTAATAGTGAATGTTTATTTATAAAAGTGAATGTTTCAGTGAGGTCAAAATCCCACACACTCTAGTGATGTTTCAGTGAGGTCAAAATCCCACACACTCTAGTGACTAGAGTCTAGTCTTTTGCCAATACTTTGAAAATAGAAGTGACCTTGAATACAGCAGCCATTAGACTAATAAGTAGTAGACATAACGCCTCTTTTTTAATCTTCAAAAAGGTAAGCAGAAGTGCACAAATACTATTTAACAGGCGGCGAGCTTATTGCCATATTCCAACTGACAAATGTATTAAAAACCGTAAAAACCCCAATGAGGGAATTATATTCTACCCGACCGAGGAATCGAACCCATAACCCATTGCTAGACAGTCTCACTTACGACTTCTGGAGCAGTCGTAAACCTTGAAAAGAAAATAATTTGTTTTTTTTTTGTTTTCAGGTGTTCCACAATCAATATACGGAGCTCGAAAGCTGACGTCATTGATCGGACTATCCCCTGCGTTGGACTTGCTCATCACGGGCCGCCTGATCTCGGGAGTAGACGCCAACCGACTAGGACTGGCTTGTAAACTCACTTCTACGGGCACAGGTAATTATAATAATAGTTGAATATTATGCTACAAGTGAGCTAAGTGGTTTAAGTGTAGGAGAGCCATGCTTCTGCACGAATGTGCCGGCTTAACCGGACTGATACCACGGCCTCACAGAACACCGACGTGAAACAACGCTCGCGTTGTGTTTCGTCATGTGAGTGAGGTTACCGGAGGCCCAATTACCCTCTCCAATCCTTGAATCCCCAATAATCCTCAAATTCCTAATCCCTAAAAGGTCGGTAACGCACTTGTAACACCTCTGGTCCCGAGTGTCCATGGGCGACGCCGATTGCTTACCATCAGTTGATTCGTCTGCTCGTTTACCGGTTTATCCCATAAAAAAGTGGGACTACCCATAAGAGTATTAACGCTTTTGAAAATGCATTTATGTAAGGATTTTTCGGATATTTTTGTCATGGTAAATCATGTTTACTTATCTGTGGTTTTATATTTCCTATGGATTTGGTTAACTCTTTCCTGTATACAATGATTATTTAGTTTAATCTCTTGTCTGTCGAATGAGACACAATAGAAAACACATTGTGTCTCGCGTAGGTCTACGCTCCGACACTTCACAGGTTGTTAGGTTATGATGACATGTCACGGAGAACCTAACGGGTAACCGGGGCTCCGGCTCGACGTGCAGGAGAAGGAACGGGGTGGTTTTTAGTCAGTAAGAGTCTGACACTCCCTCTCGCCTCACCCAGGCGGGAGCAGTCATTCGATGATTAACCCCCCCTTAAAAAAGAAAATGATAACATAGGTACCTCCTTTTTTGGACTTATGCTGCAGTCGGTGTAGTAAACAGTATTAATGCAGATTTTCTTGGTCTTTATAGTCATTTACACTTTATAACTAGATTCGCCAAAAGACAGCAATCCCATTTATCTCCAGTCCCTTATGAATTTTGAGAAGTCATCTCTTAGAATTTCCCTACACTTGAAAAGAAACATAGTCAGCTTTTAAAAACCAGTATTTTCTATAATTATTGGTTTTAAAATAAATAATCCTATCTGTAACCTTACCTTTCATATTAATTTTCAGCTCTGGGCGAGTCGATAAAACTGGCGAAGTCTTTAGCAAAGTTCCCAGTGAATGCGATGGTGATGGACAAGATGGCTGCTATCAATTCCCAACTGAATCCTAACTCGGAGGAGAGTATGAGGGACGAGGCTATAATGCATAGTCTATTAGGAAACGCTATCGAAGATATGAAGGAAGGAGTCAAGAAGTTCCAAGCAGGTTAGTAATGTAGAACTAAAGGGTTGTTTTAATTTTTTAATCTGTGCTTAACTCTCGATCAGTTTTAAGCCACGAACGGGGCTCATAAAATCTTGAGTTTTGTAGGCGAAGTCCCTTGAAACGCATGTTATAAATAATCGAGCGAGCTGCAGTAGTAATTATGTGACTCAATTTTAAATTTTTGACAGTAATTCATTACAGCTGTTGTCAATCCTTACTTCTTTACTAATATTATAAATCAGAAAGTGAGTTTGTTTGTTTGTTCCGCTTTCACGTCGTAACTACTAATTCGATTGCTTTGAATTTTTGCAGACGTAAAGTTAGAAGTCCGGATTAAATAATAGGGTACTTTTTATCCCAGAAAAGTTTTATATTACCGAGGGAAAACAAAAGTATTGGTATAGATGGCGCTGTGATTATTGGTATATGTCACATAGGCTACTTTTTATCCTTTTGTGACGCGAGCGAAGCCGCGGGTAAAAGCTAGTTGAAAATATTTCAATTGGCTATTAATTCTAGTCGTTAGTAGGAGATGCATTTGTGTCACGATTGTACTTACTTGTACTTATAAAGTACGGTCATACATACTTAACTTCACGCCTGTCTTCCATGCCCACCCCTGGCACAGACTATGGAACGCCAATTGCTACGATTCCAATAACAATAAATATGTTTATAATAGTTACTAGCTACTTCCGCGCGGTTTCACACGCTCTGCTCAGCTCCTATTGGTCGTAGAGTGATGTTTTATAGCCTATAGCCATCCTCAATACATTCGCTATCCAACACAAAAAGAATTATTTAAATTAGACTTGTAGTTACGGAGATTAGCGCGATCAAACAAACAAAAAAACAAACTTCCACTTTATATAATGGTATAAGATTAAACTGTTAAACACCGCGCGGTCACCGGTGACCGCAACCTATTGTTCTTTAATTGTGTCTATAATGACGGTACTCAACGAGTTAATTAATATATTTTTTTATTCAGGTATTGGTAAACACGGCAAGTTCTACAAGTTAAAAGAGCTTCCATTAAAAGACTGGGAATTAGAAGACACAGAAGAACAAGTCACCATTAAACTCAAAGAGGTTAATATAGAGAAAGAGGATGGGAAAGACAAATGAAAACTTACCCTATGTGTAGAGAATAAGACTTGTTTTGTGTTGTTTGTAAGGTAATGGAAAGGTTTTATTGCAATGATTACGATTGGTTGGATTTTCTTTAGGTCTTGTGTTGTATTAGTGTGACGATAGATGTCGTTGTAGTGCAGTTAGGTCATCAAGCATGATTACTTAACTTAATCGGAGGATCCTCCTATTTTCTGAAATAGGTCTTTTTGTCGGAGTTTAACCATTATCTTGCCTGGGCCAACCGCTAAAGTGGCGTTTATCTATCTAGCCAAACGCCACTTTAGCGCTTGTCTACAGAGAGAGTAGAAATCACAATGTATTAGGATCCCAAGCGTACGGCGCGTCACGTTCCGCGCGCGCCTCAAAGAGCCATCAGACCACCACAGATGGGGCCGATGCCGATTCGGAGTCGCGGAGAACCTAACGGGTTACCGGGGCTCCGGCTCGACGTGCAGGAGAAGGAACGGGGTGGTTTTTAGTCAGTAAGAGTGACACTCCCTCCCGCCTCACCCAGGCAGGAGCAGTCATTCGATGAATTTCCCCCCTTAAAAAAAAAAATGTATGGGGATGACACTGACAAGTGTCAAAATTTACGTCAATTCCATATAATTTGTGTTTTCTATTCTACATGTAGACAAGCGCTAAATGGCATTTGGCTACAGCTGCTGGTCGTAAGCAATGATGTAGTCTACAATGGAGCACGTTTACCTTTTTACTCGAGACTTGAAGACACCCAGGAGTTTCACTCAGCAGTTCTTATAAAGAAACTGGCATGCGCGTATTAGATTTGTTTTTTATTTTTAACACATTAAACGCCGTGGGGGTCACCGGTGTCCGACGTTAGTGGAGGATTTGCCTTCATCAGTTTTCTATTGGCAGGCTTAAGCCTTAGGCTGCCTGGTTGAAGGTAAATCCTCCACTATCGTGGCCCATACCTTGTCCCCCATGGCGTTCAAGGTGTTCATGGCAGTCAAAGGCTTAAAAGTGTTTCTAGGTTCCTTTTGAAATATAAAAGTGACAAAGATAGCATGACAATTTCAATTAAGATACGTATCATTTTAGTCCATAAGTTAATAGCATAAACTACTACGGTAACTACTTAACTGTGTAAAATTACGGTAGTAACAAAAGCTCCTACATAAAAGAAAGAAATTTTTAATCTACTGCCTAAAATACTATGTTTCCGACTACTTTTTTCCGATTAAAATTAACGAAACGACCGAATGAGGTATTGGAAATCTTTAAAAATAAACATGATTTGTTGTTAGAAAAGTGTCATAGAAATAAACCCAATAATATATTAGATAAGCCATCTACCGTGTGGTGAGGTAATGAATAATTTGTTTGTGAACTTTGTGATTAACATCAAGAAAATATGGCTTAGAGTTTAAACCTTAGACTCTGCGTACGTAAATGTAATTATAATTTGTATTTTCATAATGATTGCAATGAACCTTTCAATATTTATTTAATATACTTACTTACTAGTCAGTTATTCTGAAGTCCTAACGTACTATTATTATTATGTAAGTACTTATTATCTTCTAAAGTGTTCCATGTATGATGGCTGGTTAATTAATGTGTACAAAAAAGTATTAAATACTGTAGGAACAAGTTCAAAACTATTATTTTGTAAATAAACATTAATTTGAATTAAAATACATAAGGCTTTAGTTCCAAAGAACACAATAAAACACTCAAATACAAATAGTAGAATTTTATTTTAATAAAGACAGTAATTCTAAGCGCCGACATTGCCCTTTTCCGCAGCATACTTGTAGTGGAGGTCTGAGCAATCTTCGTTGGAGATGTTCACCCATCCCTTCTCGCTTATATGGTAGACTCGGACGATACCGCCGGAGTAGGCATCGCGGTGAGTCGCGTGGTAGATCGCGCGACGACCTAGCTCTGTAGAATAATATAATATGTTTTAGTTACGTGTTTATTCATGGGTATCTCTTCATTATGGGCTTTGGGAGAAAAAGATGTGATATTATGTAGCAACGAATGAATTTTGTATTTGTTTATTCAATCGCCACATTGGGTACCTTCTATTTCTAAACAAGATACTATTTATAGTTTACATTTCCATGGGAAAATCTTGCATTGTCAAATGTCAAAGATTTCAAAACAACTTGACGAATGTCAAAAATTATCATTCATCAAAGTATCGTCATGGTTGAACAATTAAGAGACTTCTTAGTTAGATGTCACACTTTAGAAGTCCACCTACAAAACAGTTAACTTTCACAACAGTTATCACTACATAGTATAAAACAAAGTCGCTATCCGCCGTCTGTCTGTCCCTATGTATGCTTAGATCTTTAAAAAACACGCAAACGGATTTTGATGTTTTTTTTTAATAGATAGAGAGATTCTTAAGGAAGTTTTATATATAATAAATTTTAAATTTATGTATAATACATGCATATTGCACCCGTGCGAAGCCGTGGCGGGTCGCTAGTAAAAATTAATCAGATGTATGGCAATGTAGAAATTCGTTGAGCGTACCCTGTGCATCCTTATCAGAGAGGTCCCAGCTGTACCCGCTGTCCAGCACACCGAAGGCATACACTGACCCGGAGCCGACGGAGAACACCTTGCCAGGAGTGCGCGTACCTTCAGAGTCTACGTAGTATAGCTGAGCTCCCTGTAACAATGGAATTGTGAATTAATAAAATGTACTGCTTACTCTTGTGGCTGACGAGGTAACAAATGCTAGGTGATAAGTAAATGATGGAGTATATTGCACATTGTTTATTCATTGGATGAAGTTGTCTAATGGAAGAAGTGGTGCAGTTTCAGAATCAAAAAATATCCATCTATTGTTTCTTTTTTTAAACCGTTGCCCTACTCTAGGTGCGTTTACAAACATACAAGTTCACATACACATCACAGTCACACCCACACCCGGATAAACCATCTGTGGATCACGCAAAGTTGTTTCGTGCGGGAATCGAACATGCGACACGTTGTGCGGCAGCCAATTGCCCAGGCAGCACGCCAACCGTGCAGAAATTCGTGCAATTCTTGCAAATATTTGCTATAAATTACAATTAGAACGTAGGTAGGTTACTTTTTTGCCTAGAGCCAAAATTGATTCAGCAACCGTTCTACGACCGATTCGCCACTGAACTGTTCGTCGACAGGCCGACTCATTTATTTCCGTTTTGTCAACAGGATCTTTCACCTATGGACATTTCTCCGACAGAACCTTTCATATGCGTCACTTTCGTCGACAGCCCTTTTCACCTACTGTTTCACTGACACGAAGATAAACCTAACTATAGCTCTTTTAGATACAGACAGGCGAAATCGACAAAAGTCCATAGGTGAAAGACCCTGTTGCCAAAATCGCGAAAAGTAGGAAAAAAAATGTTTTTTTCTGCATACTAAATGTGTAAACAAAATATCAAAATACAGATAACTCACCCTCTTATCGACACCAGCCAACATCATTCCCATACTAAGCCCCATGCCTTTGTAGTTGTACACCATGTTGGCCATCAGTTTGCTGGCTGCGGCCACTGAGATACGCTCCCTGTTGCGGAGCTCATACAGACGACATTGCTTTGCAAGCACACGATCCCAGTACACACAGTCTGCGGCACCACCGGCGAGGGTACCTATGGAGATAAGTGAGGATGCAATTAGTTTTTAGTAATGTTGTGTTTTTAATTTTGTCCTTTACCAAGTACTCCAAATATTATGAATGAATATATATTTTTTATGGAATAAGCCGGTACACGAGCCAACGGATCACCTGACGGTAAGCAATTAGCATCACCCGGCACCCGGAACACCAGAGGCGTTAAAGGTGCGTTACTGGCCCTTTGGGGATTAGGAATTTGAAGATTGTTGGAGATACAGAGATTGGGGAGATGAGGGAGGAGGGGGCCTCCATTGATCTCACTCACACGACGAAACAAAATGCAAGCATTGATTCACATCGGTTTTTTGTGAGGCTGTGGTACCTATCACTAGTCAAGCTGGCCCATTCATTCATGCCAAAACATACCTCTGTCACACATAAATGTATATAAATAAATAGTGTAATTTGCTAAATTATTGATAATTACTTACCAAGCAAGTAGTCATTGATTTCTACAATCTTCTTCATGGACTGGGAGCCGATGAACTGGCCACCAGTGGCTCGGGAGTCCACAGCCAGGAGCACACCACCCTGTGACATTTGTATATTGTAACTTAGTTTTGTCACCTTCAAGTAAGTTAAGTATCCGGTAAACTTATGTGACAGATAGTAGTTCATACAAATTATGTTTTTAGTTCTTTATCAAGTACATAGTGGCTAAACAGGAATTGAGAATCAGGCCCTAAGTTTGTTATACTATCTTAAAAATATTCTTCATTATCATTTCACATAAAAACTACTGCTGAATAGAGCCAACTTAAATTTGGGCCTAAAGATTATAGCACCACATATAGGTCACTCTATCTCGATAATGTAAGCATAACCATTGCCGATGCAAGTAGTTTATATGTCAAATCCTGTAGTAAACATTAAGAAACAAGATCTAAAATGAAATCTCATAAGAAATAGACCAAAAAAGTAACTTTGACAGTAATTGTGAAGACAATGTAGTCACTGATGTTACTTTCATCTAAATATCTCAATTGTATAATTATCATCTAACAAGAAATTGAAACAACAATATTATGGGGTCTGGCTTGGCTGACCCTGACACAAGGGCTTTGGGAAAGGATAGCAAGAAGTCGAAAATGTTAAAATAGTTATATTAAAATAGTTAGATCTCAAAAAGTTTAGAAACTATATTCTAGTGCACATCCAGTCATATAAAACTACTAGTCATGATTTGACACAATATAACATTTGAATTTCATGTTATAATTAAAGGTGGTCTTAGTAAGTGATCATAGTTCTATTTAGTATTACATATATAAGCTTATAAGAGTACTTTACCTGGTAACGGAAGCCAAGAGTAGTGGTACCATGGTCGAACTGGATTTTGATCTTTTTACCAGTCTCATCTTTCTGGTTGAACTGCGCAAGGGTTTCTACAGGCTGTAAATATATAAAAGGAAAAGGTATTACTATGATTTTCGGGTAATATATAGCATTTTTCGTGCTTTTAACCTTTACTTACGTTTGCAAACGGTGGCGTCGCGAGTTGAGTGCTGTGTAAGAAGTTTCCACTGTATCCAACGACATCATTTTGGAATGAAGCTAGTGCGTCTACGGGTTTCAAGTTAATTTTTGGTCCAAGTGGCAAAAATCGAGTAAAGCCATTATTGTTTTGTGATTTCAAATAAACTTTTCTGTGCAGTATGAATGACAAGCGATTTCTTCAAAAACGCCGATTTGTCAAGTTTGACAGTTTGCATTGTGTTGCAATTTGGAAAACTAAATAAATGTTACCATTTTATTAAATATTACAATATTGAGTTTAAGGTACGAATTATTTTATTGATAAAAATATTTTTCATTTAAATTTCACTATCTCTTAGTAAAAAAATTAAGAATTAGAGTAGATTTTCTTTTTGTAATTATTTCTAAATCACGTAAGTAACTAGTGCCATCTAGTTTTCTACTTTGGCACTGCGTTATAAATTAGGGATTCTATTCCCCAACAGATGTCACTGTTAATCTTGAAAAGTTATTTTCGTCGATTTAAAGTTAAGTAACCAAATTATAATAGTTTACAGAATTTTCCAGTCCGTATATCTTTATCTTGCACAGTAATTTTATTGACTCAAATCTTTACTAGGCCATTGAACATTAAAATCGAAACTAAAGAACACAAATTAGGAATCGAAATCTATCGTTTAATTCGTTAATGAATAGTTCGACCACCAAAAAATATCAGTCAAAATACATTTCAGAGAAACGTTCATTGGAACAGAATTATAAAATTCACCGAATTTAAACTGTAACTAATAAATAGTGTAGAAGTTAGCAAACCTATCATTACGCTATGACTCAGAGATTCGATACGATCTGCTTTTCGAAGCTCCTCGGTTTAGTCTGTCATTATATCTAAGATACGATAGCGTTTGTATAATTTATATATTAGTCATTAGTTGTTGGTCATTTTGGAAAGCTATCAAGATGTTATTGTTGTGTCGCGTTCTATGTGGAATGTGATCTGGGGCTAGAATGGTTTTGACAATGATAACGACAGAAATTGGTCCGTGAATTTCATAGATTAAATTCCATAGATTTTCTATATACGGTGAAACTTGGTTAAGTGGGACCTGGATAAGTGAGAAACCTACATAACTAGAACTCATGCTGAGGTCCCAACACTTTGGCACTGAATTACCTCTGTTAGTGGGACGAGGTAAACCTCTATATCTGGGATTTGTTCTTTCGATTTATCATCATAGTTACTAGTTACAGAGCCCCGGTAACCCGTTAATATTTTTTCATAAAACTGTCACCTATAATACCACCTTACTGCGTGCAAATAAAGCATTCTTATTCTTATGCACCACAATTCGGTATGTGCCTACCTGCTTTAATTACTAAGAATAAACCTATCGTTTAAATACTCGATACCTTTAACCTCACCTTTAACTCCAAAGGGCGTGAACAGCTAAACAAAATAACGTCTCACAGCCCATACAGACCTACATTTATCTTAAACTCCTAACAGAAATTATGCGTTTCCCAAAATTTCGGCGCCAAGATCACTCAAATCAAAAGGTTAGCGTCAAATAAATTCGGAAATCGTGTAGTGTAGCGCGGGAGAGTCACGACTCGGACGGACACGGGAGACGAACCTAGTGCACAAATGATAGCCCCAAAAACATGTAATTGTGAGATTTAGGAGGGCCGTTTGTTACACCGACCTGTATTTTTTTAAACCTTACCTTAATCTAGGGTCAGACATATTATGTAGGTATTCATATTGAAATTCACATACCTATCTACACATAACATCCATACAGGGACAACAATTTGTGAATCACACAAAATATTCCTCCTTGCGAAAATCGAACTCACTACGTTGTGAAACAGTCGTATGTGCCACCACTGTGCCCGAGTGAGACGATGATAGATCTATTAACGATAACTATTGAAACTTTCGAAGGAAGTAAAGTGTGGCAGAACCTTGCTTCGGCACGAATGGGCCGGTTCGACCGGAGTGATACCACGGCGTCACAGAAAACCGACGCGTTGTGTTTCGTCGTGTGAGTGAGGTTATCGGAGCCTCAATTACCCTCCCCTTTCCCAATCTCCCCAATTCCTGAATCCCCAACGATCCTCAAACTCCTAATCCCCAAAAGGCCGGTAGCGCACCTGTAACGCCTCTGGTGTGATGGTGTCCATGGGCGACGCCGATTACTTACCATCAGGTGATCCGTCTGCAAGTTTACCGGCTTATGCCATAAAAAAAGTAGGTACTGAACCATGAAGTTTTTTTAACAAAGTCACCAAAAATAAAGTCACAGATCGGTGTAACAAATCTAGTTTTCAGACTGATTAACGCATTCCCTTAGTGCATGGTTGCAATTCGTCAGCTCTCATGCCTAAGGCTGGGTCTTTGGTCCAGACGGGTCAGCATTTAGTTCAGTCATTCAGACGGGGGGGAGGGGGGCACCGTTCAGTTTCCCATAGGAAACGGGCGCGACTTGAACACTTGTCACGCGACACGCAACGAATTTCGGTAGTCCACTGGTGTAGCTATGATTTTTGAACTCATTGTGGACTGTACAGCTTTTGTTTTTTGCCTAATAGATATTATAACATATCGTATATACACTGCCTCGTTGGCCAAGACGTCGCAAGTGTCGCGGAGAACCTAACGGGTAACCGGGGCTCCGGCTCGACGTGCAGGAGAAGGAACGGGGTGGTTTTTAGTCAGTAAGAGTCTGACACTCCCTCCCGCCTCACCCAGGCGAGAGCAGTCATTCGATGATTTTCCCCCCTTAAAAAAAAAGACGTCGGAAGTGTGACTGTGGAGCAGGGGGACCCGGGTTCGATTCCTGGGTCGGGTAAAGTAGTAGGTACCTACTGGGTTTTAAAAAAATTCTCAGTAGTAGCACGGAGTTTTGAATTGTGCCCGGTATATGGCAATAAGCTCACCCCCTATTACATGGGACTCATTACATAAATAGAGAAAAGCGGGTCTTTGCATTGTTCGATTTAGTAATATTATAACAAACGTTGTTCGACCAAACTAGGGTGAACCGTACCAAAACATATTTGGAGATATATAATTACATTAAAAATAATATTAGTCATATTAGTTGTTCTTCAGTATTGTAGTTAACATCGTCTGTTCAGTAGGTATGGTAAATATGAAATATTTTATTTAAATTCTAGTGTTCCCATTGTATGGTCATAGCCAGATGATGATGATGATGGTCATGGCGAGATAGAAGTTTCCATTTAAAGATTTTGGTATTTTGTCATTTCGCACGGAGTCTGAAAAGTTACTATTGTATCTGGTGAAAGCTCGAAGAGCAGGAGTAGGGGCGGGGTGGTTTTTAGTCGGCCAGCATCTGACATCTTGCCATACCCAAGGCGCGAAGCCATTGGATGATTTTCCCCCCTTAAAAAGAAACAGTGATAAATAGACACTCTAGAATAGCTAAGAAGATTCCCGTAACGCGTTGGAGACACACCTACTTACTAAACATATTAAGTTATTTCTTATTGTATTGCCTTCGAAAAGTCTCCAAATCCACTCGTATCATGGAGTTCATAATGTTTAGGTAAGTGATGACCCCGGGCAGTGGTAATGCCATGAATTTCATCGGCATCTTAATGACATTAGTATCGGAAACCTGACAATAAGATTGTGGCAACTAGGTAGTGACCGACCCGGCACCGATCATGTAGGAATGCTGAAATTGGTTGGACATTTCGGTAATTTAATATTTGTGAATAGTTATGTCGGATTGGCTCAAGCTGGATGTGATAAATGCTGGATTGGATATGTAAATATGCTCACCCCTTATTACATGGGACTCATAACATTAATAGTAAAAAGTGGGTGTTACATTGTTCAGTGCATCGAGTGCCGTATATGTGCACTTCTGTCTACCCCTTCGGGGATAAAAGGCGTGATGTTATGTTATGTGTTATAGCGGATTTTTTAATCAAAACAGCACACGGCCCACCTGATGGTAAGCGGTTACCGTGGCCTATGTACGCCTGCAACACTTGAAATATTGTCATTTTAAAACTACCTACCTATTGAGTATAGCGTGATGTTTTATAGCATATAGCCTGCCTCGATAAATGGACAATCCAACACAAAAAGAAATTTACAAATCGGACTACATAACAAATGAATAATACAGCTTAATATAAAAGGTGAAGGCAGAAATATAAATATTCATATACTACCTCTATTATGTAGTATAAAGCTAAAAACTTAATTTGTTTGTTTGAACGCGCTAACCTCCAGTACAACTGGTCCGATTTGAGTAATTCTTTTTCTATTAGATATATAGTAAATTTATTGAGGAAGGTCAGTAGGAGTCGAGCAGAACGGGTGAAACAGCGTGGAGGTAGCTACTTAGATCTAAAATAACACGAATTCTACATACATACATAACTTCACGCCTGTCTCCCATGGGGGTAGGCAGAGACTAGGGAACGCCAATTACTACGATTCCTACATATCTCTTTCGCTTCATCAACAGTCATCAATCTTTTCATGCATGCTCGTCGGTTAAGGGTACTTTTAATTTGGCCCTTCTTTAATTTATCGCCAATCTGGTCAGTATATGTCCGTCTAGGGGGCCCTCTACCGATGGCCCCATCATCGCGAAGGACACACCGGGCGTCGGGGATCGCGAGACGATCTCCGGCCACCGTAAGCGCGGGCCTGCGGACGGCGAGCATGGGTGGTTCCCCGTCCGACCAGAAACAGACCCGAGCGTACGGCGCGTCGCGTTTCGCGCGCGCCTCAAAGAGCCATCAGACCACCACAGATGGGGCCCAATAGGGCCGATGCCGATTCGGAGTCGCGGAGAACCTAACGGGTAACCGGGGCTCCGGCTCGACGTGCAGGAGAAGGAACGGGGTGGTTTTTAGTCAGTAAGAGTCTGACACTCCCTTCCGCCTCACCCAGGCGGGAGCAGTCATTCGATGATTTTCCCCTCTTAAAAAAAAAAACCGATGGCCCCATTCATATCCGCTCTGTATATTTTGTAACACGAATTCTTTGATGCATTATTTTCAAAAATACATAAATATGTTCTGTCAAGAGCTAGCAGGTCTGTTTATGATGTATCAGGTCGAAGGCCCAGCGCTAACACAGTGGCAATCAGAGTTTATGTCTGTTGTATTCCGTCGATTTGATTGCTATTATACTTATGCGATTGTTGCCGTGCACTGGCGGCCGAGAGGAATGACTTGATTGGGGAATATAATTTGTTT